GGGCTGTTGAGGCCACTTGGAGGTTTCTCTGTGTCCTCAGGGGTCACCTGAGTGGTGCAAATGGTTCCTGGAGTCTGCAATTTGTCCCCTCTGGAAATCCATTCATACTCCCACCCCATTCCAAGGGTCTCCATCCCAAATTTTGTAGCTAAAGGTCTGTAGAGATTCTCAATCCTCTAGGTCATGGTTGTCCCAAAGGTGCCTTTTTTTGTGTTTTCAGGAGGCAACTGGCCTTTCTTGTCTTTTTTCTTCTGAAGATGTTTTTCTTCTCACCCAAGAAGCTTCCTCAGCTCCGACTGGATGATATGGATGGATGATGGAAGGATTGATGCTCCTTGCAGACAGCTGGTCCTTTGCATCCTTTTAGAGGGTGGCTGAGGCCACTTGGAGGTTTATCTGAGGGTCACTTGAGTCTGCCTGAACTGACCTGAGTGACTGAAAATCTGTACAGGCAATTTGGGATGGAGACCCTTGGAATGGGGTGGGAAGAGGAATGGATTTCCAGAGGGGAAAAATTGCAGACTCCAGGAACCATTTGCACCACTCAGGTGACCCTGAGGACACAGAGAAACCTCCAAGTGGCCTCAACGACCCTCTAAAAGGATGCAAAGGACCAGCTGTCTGCAAGGAGTGTAAATCCTTCCATTCCCCACAGTCATCCAGTCAGAGCTGAGGAAGCTTCTTGGGTGAGAAGCGAAATGTCTTCAGAAGAAAAATGAGAAAGCCCAGTTGCCTCCTGGAAAAAAAAAGACCCTTTGGGACAACTATGATCTGGATGGCCGCCAATGTCCACATAGACCATATGCGAAATAAATCATCATCTTCTCCCTCTCCTGACAGGAACGGCCGCTGGCGGAGGAGGAAGACGGCGACTTTGACGTGGTGTTCCAGCTGCGGCGTAAAAACGCCCTGCACGGCATCCTACGCTTCGTCCAGAGGAGTGTCGCCCGACTGGAGGCTCAGCCGGGCCCCCACCCCGTCACAATCGACAGCAAGGTGGTCAAAGTCACCAACCTGTCCAGAAGGTGTGCGCCCGAGGCGGGAGGAGAAGGGAAAAATGTGGACGCGGAGAGGCGGGAGCCCAGCGTTTCTCATCAGGGAGCTTGTGGGGAGCCACACAACAGAACCACGGAGTGTCTGTTTGCACCCTTGCGCTGTGGCAAACAGGAGTTAGGTGCCTGGATCGCAGGCCGTCCTCGCCTTACGACCGCAATCGAGCCCAGCGTTTTGTGTCCTGAAGCGGGAACCTTTGTTGGGGGAGTTCCCCGCCCCGTTTTACAACCTTTCCGGCCACAGTTGTTGTGCTAGTCGCTGCAGTTGTTAAGGTAATAACCAGGGGTGGGTTTCAACCGGTTCGCGGCGGTCCCTGCGAACCGTTTGGTCGGCGAACCCGGAAGTAAGTAACTTCCGGGAACAGCGAAGGGCCCACCCACCCGCCTGCGCTCCTTACCCGGTTTTGACGAGTTCTGCGCTTCCACGCATGTGCAGGACGCATACAGCGCCTGCGCGATCCTCCAGGAGCACCTGGAGCATTGCACAGACGCTAGTACGCATGCGTGCACCGCGCGCGTGCACGAAGACGCCGCTGGCCCCGTTCCAACCAAACCAGTTGGAACGGAGCGAGAAACCCACCCCTGGTAATAACCATCGTAATTATGAGTCGGTTGCCAAGCCTGTGAATTTGGATCATGTTTGTGACCCTAGGGGGTTGCTGCAGCGCTTGTGTCAAAGACGGGCCCCGCGTCACTCCTTTTCAGGGCTGTTGTAACTTTGAACTGTCACTAAATGAACTTCTTGTAAGGCGTCGTGTTTCCCGCAGGGTGGGGGGAGAAAAGCACACGCAGCCCTTGAGAAACGGGTTGGCGGGAAACCGAGGCGTGCGGCCTGAGTGAGCGGGCTGTTGAAGGGAGGATGGGGAAGGAGGCGCTCTCTCTCTCTCACACACACACAAATACACACCCACACCCAGGCAAACACACACACATACACACACACGTGCCCAAGGCTCAGCTGCCGCTTCCCTCCATAGCGTCTCCAGCGAATGGCACACGAAGGCCTCGCGCACCACCTCCCACTGCAACCTGTTAAAGATGCCCAGGCCGGCGCACAGCCTGCCGTCCCTTGAATCCGTGTCATCCACGCAGCTGATCCGGCTTCGTCCGTACGGCAGCGCCAACGAGGTGGGTGGGGTTGGGAAGGGGAGGATGGGTCTTGGGAGGGGGGACAAAGAAGGGACCCTTGCTTCGTAGCGAAATGGGGGGGGGAACGGGATGAGTGGCTTGCTTTCCTGTAGCTTTTTTCCATCGCTTTTAGTCCCTGTTGAAACAAGAGGGTTTCTAGTCCTCATGAAATAGGATTCTAGTCCTTGTGAAAGAGAGCAACTAGTCCTCATGAAATAGGATTCTAGTCCTCGTGAAACAGGACATCTAGTCCTCGTGAAATGGGATTCTAGTCCTCATGAAACAGAGAGCATCTAGTTATGAAATAGGATTTTAATCCTCCTAAAACAGGGCATCTAGTCCTCATGAAAGAGTTTTTAGTCCTCGTAAATAGGATTCTAGTCCTCATGAAACAGAGAGCATCTAGTCCTTGTGAAACACAGCATCCAGTCCTCGTGAAATGGGATTCTAGTTCTCATGAAACAGAGGACATTTAGTCCTCATGAAACAGAGTTTTTAGCCCTAGTGAAATAGGATTCTAGTCCTCATGAAACAGAGAGGATTCTAGTCCTCATGAAACAGAGAGCATCTAGTCCTCATGAAAAAGAGGACATTTAGTCATGAAATAGGATTCTAGTCCTCCTAAAACAGGGCATCTAATCCTCATGAAACAGAGTTTTTAGCCCTAGTGAAATAGGATTCTAGTCCTCATGAAACAGAGGATTCTAGTCCTCATGAAACAGAGAGCATCTAGTCCTCATGAAAATGAGGACATTTAGTCATGAAATAGGATTCTAGTCCTCCTAAAACAGGGCATCTAATCCTCATGAAACAGAGTTTTTAGTCATCGTGAAATGGGATTCTACTCCTCCTGAAACAGAGTGTTTTAGT